ATTTCGGATGTTGAGCCAGAAGCTAAAGTCGAAAATGAGATTGATTCTTATGATTCCGATGAGAGTTTTGAAGGGGAATCACTTGAAAATATTCTTATCGCAAAAGATGGAATGCGGTGGCAGTCTGAACCACTACCCAGAACACAAACTAGTAGCAGAAATATTATTCGTCAACGGGGCGGGGCTGCATCGTTCATCAAACTTTACAATCAAATGGAAATATTCAAAAATATTGTTACGAGCTTGAGGTTCGTGACAATAAAAATTGCCGATAGAATTACCAAAATTAACTCTTTAATTCACTTTACACTAATTAAAACTTAGAACACTAATAACTAATCACACTGATTCACTTTATTTCGCTCCGAAGCATTGCTTGTCTCGCCAAATTCAATATTTCCCCGCTCGCATCTTGCAGCGCTTTTAAATACACGTTATCACCGAAACATCCAGAATATTCAAGTAAATACGCGCGCCAATCGACAAGGCGTCGAAAGTTCGAGTGTCGGGCTTCTAGAAGCTTAGTTCTTCGTTTCGATATTAGATGGCGCTGTCGGTTGAAAGATTAGTGATATCATTTTCTGGAAAGCTCCCCTCGCTCTCGTCCCCGACACTAGATGGGGCTAGTGCCGGGTACATGACGTCAACTTAGGCGCGCAACACTGCTCCCTCCTAAGACATGCTCGTCCTGAGCATTATTGGCCCCATAATAACGCGCCAAGCGATCCACATGGACGATCTTAGGAGTCCCTCTTGCGCCTTTCTGTAACGGCTCCGCAATGTCAAGGGCTGTCCTATCCCATGGTGCACCAACATTGTACAACTTCAATGCACCTCTACTACGAGTCTGAGGTCCCTTTACAGCCGCACAACTCGTACATTTGCGACACCAGTCCTCGACATCGTTTCGACAGTGGACCCAGTAAAACTGTTCTCGGACTTTCAGTAGAGTTCGTTTAACTCCCAGATGGACTCTTGAACGACCATTATGGCACAGCTGTAGAACATTCGGCACTTTAGCCTTAGGGACAACCACTTGCAAACGACAGCTGTCTCCTCGACCATTGCCCCATTTACGGCACAGGACTCCATCCTGAATCAGCAAGCTGTCCCATTGGGCCCAATAGCTTCTAGTGGTCGAACTCATCGCTGAGACGTCGCTCCACTTAGGCTTGGTAGCACGGGCCTTCATCCATTCCAGAATCGGCTTTATGTCAGGATCTTCCTGCTGTGTATGTTGTAGGCTGTCCTTCCACTCGTTGCTGAGGTGGTCTGTCCTGAGCATCCTCACGGATACCACTTCCTTACTCTCTTGCCTAGTAAAATGTTTCCAATCTTCAGGACAAGGTCTTCTTGACAATGCATCTGCGTTGCCATGAGATTTCCCGCTGCGATGTTCGATCTCAAAGACTCTGAGACATGCCTGTCTTAAACATTAAGCCATGCATGTCTCAGTGCAAGCCGTATTAAGGCGATACCGCGAATGGCTTAATATATCAGTTTTGGTTCCTTGGATCTTACCTCGGTTACTTGGATAACTGTGGTAATTCTAGAGCTAATACATTCAATCAGAACTCTGACCAGTGATAGGATGAGTGCTTTTATTAGATCAAAACCAATCGACGGAGGGCCTCGCGTCCGAAGTCGTTAATTTTGATGAATCTGGATAACTTTTGCCAATCGCATGGTCTACCGGCGACGCATCTTTCAAATGTCTGCCTTATCAACTTTCGATGGTAGTTTCTGCGACTACCATGGTTGTCACGGGTAACGGGGAATCAGGTTTCGATTCTGGAGAGGGAGCCTGAGAAACGGCTACCACATCCAAAGAAGGCAGCAGCCGCGCAAATTACCCACTCCCGGCACGGGGAGGTAGTGACGAAAAATAACGATACGGGACTCTTACGAGACCTCGTAATCGGAATGAGTTCACTTTAAATATTTTAACGAAGAACAATTGGAGGGCAAGTTTGGTGTCAGCAGCCGCGGTAACTCCAGCTCCAATAGCGTATACTAAAATTGTTGCGGTTAAAAAGCTCGTAGTTGCATTTGTGCGCCGCGCTGTCGGTGCACCGCATCCGCGGTGATACTGACACGTCTGCGGAGCATATCGTCGGTGAGCCGTCGGTAAAACGGCGATTCAATATCAAAATCCTATCGCGGTGCTCTTCGGTGAGTGTCGATATGGGCCGACAAATTTACTTTGAACAAATTAGAGTGCTCAAAGCGGGCTCAAAATGCTGCTTGAATATTTCGGGGTCTTAGTTGGTGGAACGATTTGTCTGGTTAATTCCGGTAACGAACGAGACTCTAGCCTGCTAAATAGGCGTCGTCATTTAGGTGTGCGTGGCTTCGGTCGCGCAACTCACATGCACGTCAAAATTCTTCTTAGAGGGACCGGCGGCTTCGAGCCGCACGAGATAGAGCAATAACAGGTCTGTGATGCCCTTAGATGTCCTGGGCCGCACGAGCGCTACACTGAAGGAATCAGCATGTTCTCCCTGGCCTAGAGGCCCGGGCAACCCATTGAAACTCCTTCGTGCTGGGGATTGGGGTTTGCAATTGTCCCCCATAAACGAGGAATTCCTAGTAAGCGCGAGTCATAAGCTCGCGTTGATTACGTCCCTGCCCTTTGTACACACCGCCCGTCGTTACTACCGATTGAATGATTTAGTGAGGTCTTCGGACCGACACGCGGTGGCTTCACGGCCGTCGGCGTTGTTGGGAAGTTGACCAAAATTGATCATTTAGAGGAAGTAAAAGTCGTAACAATATATTGTCCAATGAAATGTGAGACATAATCTTGAAGGAAACTAATCGGAAAGGGACAAAGACTACCATTATTTCGGGCTGCGATGTCCCATGATAGATTCAAAATGCTGCTACGCTTCATAAGGTTTGATAATGATATAACGCGCCCTGAACGTTTGTTAGCAGATAAAGCCGCTGCTATACGAGATATTTGGACTATGTTCATTTCAAATTTGAATAAAAACTACAAGCCTCGTGAACGTATTACCGTTGACAAACAGCTATATGGATATCGTGAGCGGACTCGCTTTACTCAATACATGCCATCAAAACCTGAAAAGTATGGCATAAAAATATTCTGGGCTTGTGATGCAAATAATTCCTACCCCCTAAATGGATAAATATATTTAGGAAAGTCAAGTGTTAGCATACGTCAAACAAATGTAGGAGAATGCACTGTATTAGATCTCGTGGCTAAATATAAATATTCAGGGCTGAATGTAACTACGGATAATTTTTTTACGTCGCTTCAACTGGCTTATTCCTTGAATTCGTGGAATATGACACTAGTTGGAACGGTAAGAAAAAATAAACAGTTTCTTCCTGCAAATATGCACACAAGGAGAGGGCTGTTTATTCTTCTTATTTCGCATTTAGCAAAGAAGCAACTGTGTGCTCTTACGTACCTAAAAAGAATAAAGCAGTATATTGTCATCAATGCACATGTCACCAATTATTGAAAGTAATGAGGAAACTGCCAAGCCAGAAATAATTTTATATTATAATAAAACCAAAAGTGGAGTGGACAACATGGATAAGCTGTTAGCAGAATATACCATAAAATGCAGAACAAATCGGTGGCCTTTACCACTTTTTTACAATGTCATTGACATTGCAGCTTTGGCAGCATATATTATTTACATGGAACATAACCCACAATTGGTCTTTTTTGTTTTTGAAATCATTGAGTCTACAACTGTATGGTAAAAATATAGAAGAGAGATCAAAAAATTGCATTGTGACATCAAAATTACATGTGAGATCTGCAATGCAGGACGTGCTTTGCCGAGAACTTAGGCCGTCAATTTCTTTTGGATCTGCAACTTCTATAAGTTAAACTAGACAAAACACACTACACTTTCTCCCTGTACTTTCTACAGGGCGTATTGCAGTCGTCGAAAGTTGTTACCTATGCAGAAAACTCAAATACAAGCAAAGAAGAACTCGAAAAGCTTGCACAAACTACAGAAAACCAGTTTGTGATGAACATGCAGTAACTCGTCCAACATGTAACATCTGCTTCGAGAGCTGTAATTGATACTGTATGAACAAAGAATTTGTAATTTTTATAGAAAAAAAAACTTCGACAAATATTTATTATATAATTTTTGTACGAAATTAAAAATACTTTCCTCATAGTCACACAAAACACAAAGAGGTACCCGGGTACCTAGTTACTCGATTGTGAGTTCAAAATATGTATTGGTTTCCACAAAACATTGTAAATAACAGACTTGGTCAAAACATTAAAAAAATATGTAATTTATAAATAGTTAAGAGCTCTCAAAAAGTCACAGCTACATATAGGGCGTAAAACATACTTTTTTTAGAATTTGAAAATGCCAAAAGCACCCGGGTACCTCCTCACTCACTTAAGGGTTAAAAGTCTTTTTTTTTTTAATTTACCACTGGTTTGGAAAAAAACGTTTAGCTTGGGAAGTACCAGCAGGAAACACAGCAGGACTTTTTCTTAAAAAAAAAGCTTACACTACAGTATGTTATAATTAACAACACAAAACAAATTAGAAATAACTTGGTAGCGATCACTTTTCACGGCTATTATCATCTATAAATTCCTTAATATTATAATAACCCTTTTTATACAAACTTAGTTTATTAAAATTTTTGAATTTTATGCAGGTCAAATTTTGTATATTTTCTGAGGAAAACGAAAGAACGAAAGGAGTGCTGTGGTAGTTCTAGAAATAAATACACACATGCTGCGCAAAAAAAAACATTCGATACTCATCGAAACCAAGGAAATAGCAATTTTAAACTATGATTTACTTATTGATATATTACTTATTGATTGATGATATGATTTATTTACTTATTTAAAGAAATAAAGTCTTTAAAATACATGGCGACATGTTTCGATTTGGACACAGGTTGACAACAATTACAACATAAATTGAAAGATAAATCTATGTTTTCATCTAATCATCTAATAACTTTATAATTCGTTTCAGGTATCTCTCATGGGTATGGCTTCAAGTGACTCAATAGTTCTTATTGATTCTTTTCGTTATATTCCACCACAATACAATGAAGAGACTTGCGAAATATATCAGGAAGTTCTTGACGTCACTACAACTACACCAAGTTCTTATATTAGTTCCACGGTTGATAGTTCAACTTCCACACCTGCCATTTCCACAGTTAGCGACTCGATTACCTTAACAGAATCTACAAATTTTCCCACCACAATCGAGTCAAGTCCGACCGACTCTGAAGCTACTACATTACAAGAGACTGATATTACTACTACAACACAAGTGAATGATGTTGTAACGATAACAGCTTTGGAAACAACTACAAACGTTTATTTAACGACCGTAAATGATGACACACCTGCAACTGATCAAGTAACTACTGCAGAACAAACTAGTACCACAATCGAGTCAAATCCAACCGACTCCGAAGCTACTACATTACAAGAGACTGATATTACTACTACAACACAAGTGAATGATGTTGTAACGATAACGCCTATAGAAACAACTACAAACGTTTATTTAACGACCGTTAATGATGACACACCTGCAACTGATCATGTCACTACTGCAGAACAAACTAGCACCACAATCGAGTCAAGTCCAACCGACTCCGAAGCTACTACATTAGAAGAGACTGATATTATTACTACAACGCAAGTGAATGATATTGTGACGCTAACGCCTATAGAAACAACTACAAACATTTATTTAACGACCGTAAATAATGACACACCTACAACTGATCATGTAACTACTACAGAACAAACGACCACGCAAATATATACTATGACTGATGAAATTTTTTCTACTACTGCTGATATGGTTACGACAATTCAGTCTGAAATAACCGATCCGATTATAACTACTACTTCAGATGAAATCCAAACCGTGACCGAAACCACATTAAGTGAAATAGATATAACAACTACGATATTAACACAAGAAACAAGTTCAGAATCGGATACAAAAGGTACAACTTTATCAACAGTTACTGATGATACAGGTGCTCCGTCGATATCGAATACTGATGTCACAACATCTGAACAAGCAACAACGCAATCAACTCAAACAGAGATGACGATTTTAACCCAAACATCGGAAACAGACTATGAAACCTCATCACCATGGAGTACTACTTTTGAAGAAACTACGACATATTTTACTACTACAACAGCAGATTCAGTAGACGAAGATACATATACCACTTTAGACAAAGAGGAAGAGCAATCCACAACTTCAATAAATCCCGAAGATATAATTACAACTACAATTGTCCCAACATTAGGTCCCATAACTGAAGAACCTAATAGTGATTCTAGCTTTTGGACACCGCTAGTAATTGCTATGGTAGTTCTTTTATCCCTTCTTATATTAATATTAACAGCTTTATTCTTCTATTATATGGGCGAAAGAAAAGCACTAAGCCAAGCACCGGTAGATGTTTTCACAGATTATGAAGATCTGCCAAAGCCTATCACTGTTCCCAGAATAACAAAAATTCTAGCGGAACCTTACAACTTTAAGAAAACCCTGCCGGTTTAAATTATGTTTTATTTATTAATGAAATAAATGTGAATGAAGTTTATTCTGCATAATATCTAATTTCGCCGAGTGTAAGAGGCGTAAAAAATCCATTATCTCATTTTGTCTCATTAAATATGGCGGTACAACCATCTCTTATATTTGTATATTTTGTAAATATTCTGTAAAATATTTAGAACTACTCTCTCAAATATAACGGAAGACGGCTTCAAAGGTGCTAAACGTAGGATACTGTCGACCATCTGCCTCCCAAGTGTAATAATTATAGCGATACCTGACTACATCACGATAGGCCTACGTTGTACCCAATTTTTATGGATCGATGATAGAATAACAGAAGAATATTTAACAATATAACAAAGTTAAGTCATTAAATACGAGGGTGGATTGAAAAGTACTTGGCCTAACCAAGAAAATAAACACATACTAAATCAGTTATATTTTTATTTTTCTACATAATCACCATCAAGTTCAATACACTTTTGCCACCTCCCCTTCCAAGCATTTAGACCGTTGAAAAAAAATGATTCTTCCTTAGAGTCAAAATATGCGTCTACAGCTGCTTTGACCCCGTCGTTTGTCGAAAATCTTTGACCTCCCAAGTGCTTTTTTAGGTTAGGGAACAGAAAGAAGTCTGATGGTGCCAGATCAGGTGAATACGGCGGATGCGGTAACAGTTCAAAGCCACAGTTGTGAATTTCAGCCATTGACTGTACTGACGTGTGAACACGGGCGTTATCTTGATGAAACAGGACTTTTCTTCTGAGCATTCCTCGACGGTTTTCTTTTATTTCCTCTCGTAAACGACGTAGTAAGGTGCAGTAGTAATCAGAGTTTATAGTGTGTCCCCTTTCAAGATAATCAATCATAATCACACCTTTCGAGTCCCAGAATACTGAAGCCATCACCTTATTTGCCGACAAAATCGACTTAGCCTTTTTAGGGGGTGGTGAACCAGGTCTTCTCCACTGTTTTGATTGTTGTTTTGTTTCCGGTGTACAGTAATGAATCCATGTTTCGTCCATAGTAACAAAACGATTCAAAAAATCATCTGCATCGGCTTCAAATAACTCCAAACATTCGCGTGAAATAGTCAATCGCGTCCTTTTTTGTTCAACTGAAAGCAGTCGCGGAACCCACCTCGCAGACACCTTGTAGAAACCCAACTCGTTGACAATGATGTTTTGAGTTCATTCATAAGAGATGCCTATAATCTCGGCTATCTCTCTAATTTTTAATCTGCGGTCTCCCATTATTAAATCAAGTACTTTTTTAATATTTTCGTCAGTAGTTGACGTCGAAGGCCTTCCAGAGCGGGGTTTATCTTTCACACTCTCTCTACCACGCTTAAATTCTGCTATCCATTTTTTGACGGATGAATATGACAGAGCACAATCGCTTAATGTACTGACCATGTCATCATGGATGGCTTTTGATGATAGCCCCTTCTTATGAAGGTACTTAATGACGGCACGCTGCTCGATTTGCTCCATTCGCGGAAATTATGTCCGATTACTTTGTTAATAAATTTATAAAATCACAACTAATTATCGCACACGTTTCGAACTTCACACAATGAACTAGTCTGAACTGAACTAAATAATGTGGGTAGATTTGATTTTTAGAATTGAATGGATCTGTGTTAGGCCGAGTACTTTTCAATCCACCCTCGTATCAACATGAAATATGGTAATTAATATGCTCGTACTCATGAATATCGTGCCTGGCAGATGATGATCGGTTCATCCAGGCAAGTGGCGAGATCTTTTTACACTTTAAATACAAAAAATATTAAATACTCGACCACAATTGCAGATTTTTTAATTTTCTTTCTTGAGACTTTGAGACATAATGTATTGTTACTATGACCTTTCTTCGTGCATAAATGTAGAATGGCTGCAGCACCACTTATTGGATGCTAGCGTAGCTATGAACCATTGCCTTGACAAATCAAATACCTACATAATGACCCGGTCAAGTTGTTCCGAATTTACACGATCAGACTTACCAAAAATTATTTAAAGATAATTATATATCTACTATACACAAAATGATTAGTTAACAGTAACAACATACTATTTAAGACTAGCTAGTCCGGCCCAGCTTCGCCAGGATCTATTAATTAATGAGATGTTATTTAGTTTTAAAATAATCACGGAAGACAATTTATTTAACAATATTCTTTTTTTGAATTTTCAAATAAAAAATATCCAAGTTTTTCATAGCCTAGATCACTTTGGCACTGCTCTCTGTCTGTTTATCAAGTTGTCAAGTTTCAAAACAACCGTTTCTGCAAATCCTAAGTTTAGCCCAAATAGACAGGCAGATGGACAAACAGACGGACAAAAGTTTGACAAAATGTTTATTCACATCTTAATAGCATATTAACTAGCCCCCTCAGCTCGATAAAAAGACAGTTATTTCGATATCACATACAGGCACTTAAATATTTATATGTTTAGATGTATATATTATGGGTAAATACAAATATTGTCATCAAATAAAACTCTAACGAAATTAAAAGGAATTAATTGTAAAAGGTTAAAAACAACTATAAAAGCCGTGGATTAATAAAACATATCTAATGCGTCCTTTAAATTGTTGATAAATTTTTCTACGGTTATGTTAATATATCTCAGTTCCTTCTAGTAATAAAAATGTAATGAAAGGTTTTACCTTTCAAAAAGGTTGAATGTGAACACTATTAAATTATTATCAATGCTATTGTCTATCCGAACGGTATGACAGCGTATTAGGAGGTTTGTCTCATTATTTATGTTATGTTGTTTAAGTTAAGTTTGTAATGATTTTTTTTATTTTTTTAATAACATGTTAAACGAGACAAATAAAAAGCTTTATTATTTTATTATATATATCAATTCTACAAACGTAACTATATTATACAAAGTAAGAGATTTTTATGATCTGAAATTAAATACCAGTTCATATCCATAACAACAAACTTAATTTCTTTAGTAGTAATTAAAGTTTATCTCGAATAAAACGTAAATAATGTTTCACAATTTCAAGTGATAAAAGATTAAAGTTACAAAGCATTTTTAATATTTTTGTATGAGTTTGTAGTAAAAAAGATTAATGATTTAAGACCACAGGTTTTTTTTTTATAAACGAAGAGGTAAATGAGAAATAATAAATGGTAAATGAGAATGCATCTCACCTAAAGGAAAGTAATTACTACCGCACATAAAAATATTTAACACCTAAAGAATAGCAGATGGTTTGCCGACAAAAAGTATTTTTTTTGCGCCCGAAGCAATTAAAGCGGTACCCTATACGTAGGGAGGCGGAAAATGCCTTACGAATACCACGCTAGCCGGTCTATCGTGGTTATGAGGGGCTCACTGTCCTACCGGGGACCCTAAGTGATACCCTCTAAAAACCGCCTTTGGAGACAGGCAGCCGGCTGATTAAGTTGTATTGTGCCTTATCATGAGCGACCCTCTTTTGGGTTTTAAAAGAGGGCGCAGGCGGCTACGAGCCGCTGAGGGAGTGCCTACTATACTACCTACTATACTTGTAATAGATGGCTCCAGCTCAGTAAAAAGACGATGCATCCTAGTCCGATACGCGAAACCTCCAACGTCTACCCTTTCGCCCTAAAATCGGGCGTATTTTAGGGCGAAAGGGTAGACGTTGGAGGACAATGCGTTTGTATTCATTCTGATGGTCGATCGCATGCGGCGTACTCCACCAGTGGCGGGTGCTATTTGCTGGGCCTGCGAAGACCCAGCCGACACCAAGCAAGCTGGTAGGGATGATGGATGCGAGGGGCTGCTGCGTCATCAACTCGCGCTCGATTGGCGGTTCGCATGATATACATGACGCATGTGATTTCATGTGATTCGCATATGATCTACAGACGCGCCCTGGCGACCTTCAAGCAGCGACCCTTTACGCGTTCTTCTGTATTCCATCATCCTTATTATTATTATTACTCATATAGCTACAGCATGGCTCTACCACGTATAAAAAATCCGTACATAGGATTCCGGTCACGTTGGCGAGTCTCAAAAGAGACTAGACGTCTGCACAAGACAGGATTATAGTGCACGAGTGTATGTGCAAGTTCATGTTCACTCTCATATTCCGATAAAACGGCGGTATGATATGACCGGAGATAGGTCATACGCAGGATCAACAACGGCTTTACGTGCTTTCCGAGGTACCGGGTTTTAACACCGCCAGCTACCTGACTCCAGACACAATGAATTGTTTGACAGGAAAACCCAAAACTGGTTTCGATTCAACTCAGAATTCGAACCTATGGCAAATATTCCTCTTATGAAACAATCTATGGGGAGGCCACAGAAATAGTAATAATAATTATTACGATTTATACTATGTTATGAAGTGAACTTTTAGAGGCTGTAATGAATAAACATATACAATTTGTTTGTGTCAAATTGAGATTTAATTAGAAAGTTTTTGTTATATTTTTATAAAAATAATTAAAAAAGGCAAATTAGGAACCAGTACCAAGTAGTATCCATAACCTTGCTTATGTTTTTCTTTCTTTCCACCTGATGATAAGTGGATACTGTGGCCCATAAGAATATACATTTATCCTTAATTAAAATTCCAAACGCAGACGCATTGTCACCCCTAGAGACCAAGATAGAATGCCACGTTTCCAGTAAGAACGATCTCCATTTCTCTTCACTCACCGTACGAAACACACAGTCATAGCAGTATTAAGCTGATATTCTGTGAAGCGTTGTTCCCCAGTCGAGTCGACCCATTGATGCTACAACTATAATATAATTACAATGTGGCTCTATCACTTATAATTAATATTACGTTTATTAACTTACTATAATTAATATACTGTAAAAAATGTTACAGTATATTAATATACACGGAATTCGCCTTATATTTATTTTACCATTGATTTATATATTACACTAGATCAGTAATAACCGCGCTAGAATAGTAATAAAGCGTTACCACTGCTCATATGGCCACAGCCATATTCCTAGCTG